CAGTCCCTTCTGCATGAAATAACTACCATCATCATGACTTTGGCTGAGCCTGATCGCTAAATATAGTCACAATTGGGATTGTTGACAGTTGTACTCATTCATTAAAGGAGTGCCAAGCAGGGTCACTGGACCTTCACCTGAATATCCAGCCACTCTTTCCAGCCAACTAGTCCAGCCTTGAAAGACAAAAGAAAAATGAGGAAGAACCAATAGAGGGATGCTTTTGGAAGCCCTTGTCAAGAAACTCCAATAGACTCTCATATGAACTGTTGAAAATTGCCCTGTTGTGACTTTTTTCTAGTTCCCTGTCTAGAACTTATAATGCTAATTACTCTTGCCTTTACTTCTCCTTCACATCTCCCATTCATGATTCAAGGACTTTCTTCTCCCCTTAGAGACAAAAGTTATGCAATTTGGGAGTCTTTTAGATAGACCCACTGCAGGGGTACTCCAATTGCCTCAACCTGCATCCCTGTTCAGCATGGAAGAAGCCAGAGCAGTTAGCATCCCTATTCCCTATTGGCAATTTGGGTAACTCCTTCAGAGGATGGCATTATAAGAATAGGAAGTAGGAATTGGCTAGGCAGTTAGGGTAAAAAGACCCCAAAGAAATGTAGCCAATTTCTTGGCTAAAAGTCAAAATGTCCTTGGGCCTGTTAGCAACACACTCTGTCCCAAGGCCAAAAATGTCAAAAGTATTTGGGAGCTTGTATGTAATCCTTAAAAGATTTTAGGGTTACCTCTTCAGAGGGGGGAATGTTGGAGGGGAGGGAGTGGGCATGGGTTTGATAAAAACACCTTATATCCATGTATGAAAGTCCCAATAAAATTTTTGTAAATTTTTTTTAATTGAAAACCTGGGTATATGAGTAGGTCCACTTTCTTTAGAACAGTCACAGCCCCTCTTCCCAGCAGCACTAACTGCTCAGACCACGCAATCAGAAGAGAAAAGAACATCTCTGAGGCATATAATTTTAAAGTGTCACATATGCACACAAACACATGAGCACACATATAGACACATGCCACACACACAGATGAGCACACAAGTGCATACCCCAAAACATGAGTGTACACAGACACACATGCACACACATCCTATATACAAGCACACATATACATGCACATGCACACATACACATTGACATATACATGCCATACACCCACACAAACAGATTAGCACACATACACACAAACATAGGTGCATACGCAATGCATACACACAGACACATATGCTATACACTCACACAGATGCACACATGCCCCCCACAAGCACACACATATACCACATGTGCACACACACAAACATACACGTGTACATATAAGGAGATGCACATGCATGTACATATCCACACATCACATGTGCACATGCAAACACATACACACAAACACACATAAACATGCACACACCACATATGTGCATGCACTGACAAATACATACATCACACATAGGGAAACATACATGCTATATACACATACAAACACATATCACACACACAAACATGTGCACACAGGCACACAAATAAATGTGCTTACATACATATACACACACAAGCACACATGTGCACACACACCAATACATAGACACATGCACACAGAAACACATGCACATACCACAAGTACACATCACATACACACATGTACACACACAACAGATACAGCCTGCAGACACATGAGAAGTGATCAGTGGAATCCCTAATTGTGGGGACCTAAAGGCCCTGCCTTGCCAAGATGGTGCAGAGAGGAAGTTACTGGGACACGGCCTGACTTGTTTTGAAGATCATCGGATTGGATGCCTCCATAAGCTTTCATGGGCTGCCTGCATGCATGCATTGACCTTTAAGCTGACTGGAGAACTATGAGGGGTGGGGGAATTATAAGCACCCTGCTGCAATAAATGAGTTCCTGCTTGACTAGACTCCCCGTTGCCTCTCTGATGGTTCCCGGTGCTGGGGGCGGCAGGAGCTGGCGCGCTTACTCATCCCCAGTCATCCTTGCACTGGGGTCGCAGGCTCAACCCCTCCTCCCACACCTAATCACAATGACACCATCCCAGCCACAAGCAAGGCCTCTGGAAAATCCCACAAGAACCAGAAACAGAGGAACCAGAAGATTGGGAGGGATTTTGGAGGGAGGGAGGGAGACTTTGACTCCAGGAAGACATAGTTACTGTCTGGGTTTTGCACTCTACCTGACTACACTAGGGTTTCAACTTCTGAAATAAGATGGGTTAAAGAAGAGATTGTGAGATGCAGTAAAGGCACACCAGGCGCCCCTGTGAGAAGGCAGAGGAACAGAAAGCAGCCCTCACCTTGTCCTGCCCCGACCCCCAGCCTCAAGTGCTGTGGAAAGAACTCTGGGTGAGATCACAACATGGGCTCAGGTTCCTAACTCAGCCTTGGGGTCAGTGAAGGTCCTGAGGCTCTCATCTATAAAACAGAGATGGAAACACACTTTTGGCCAACATACAGCAAGGACTGAGGGGAGCAAGCTTACAGAGGCAGAGGCACTTTCCACAGTGCCCAACCAGTGTCATGCCATCGGACAGTATTTGTCAAAATCACAAGGACCACTAATACTCAAACTTCACTAGTGCCTGGCACTGTCCTGAACACGTTACCTTATCTCATTTACTCCTCACGATGGTCTAGGACAGCATGGTCCACTAGAATTTACAGTGCTGACGGACCATTCTAGAACTTCCCTGTCCAATATGACAGTTAAGACCCACATGTGGTTATTAAGTGCTTTAAAAATTTGTGATCGAGAGAGAGAGAGAGAGAGAGAGAGATCAGCTCCATAGATGAGTGTGCAGAGCTGAGAGACCTACAATAGGGAGGGGTCTCCCTGACAGCTCCCCAGCAGCAAGACTTGCTGGGTCCTTCCAGAGACAAGATTATAAAGAGAAAAGAGATGAGGGGTGGTCATTCCATACCGGTTGGGGTGGGAAGAGGGCAGCATAAACTGGAACTCCACCACACAGGTACCGTCTGGGAGCTCTCGGTGCTGCAGGCTGTTCAGCTCATAGGCGATGTAGCCTCTCCGCACATAAACCTGACAGGAGACATCATTTCTTCTGCAACTACTAGAATCTACTGTGTATATATCTGCTCTAGTAACACTTCATTTAAAGAAACAAGCGGTGGGCACGGCTGGCCCATGGGTGACAGTCTGTCAACTCTACTCTAGAGCAGCTTTAACCAATAGAAATGAAACACAAATACATTATTTATATTTTTCTAGTAGCCATTTTGGAGATAAAGCGTTCAGGGGGCAGAAACAGGTGGAGTTCTGTGAGTTCAAGGCCAGCCTGGTCTACATAGTGAGTTCTAGGCCAGCCAGGGCTGCACAGTGAGAACCTGTCTCAAAAAACAAAAAACAAAACAAAACAAAAACAAAAACAAGAAAAAGGAGAAGGAGGAGGAATAGGAAGAGGATGAGGAGGAGGGTGAGGAGGAGGAGAGAATAAATAACTTATAGGGGCTGGAGAAATAGCTCAGGGGTTAAGAGCACTTGCTGCTCTTTCAGAGGACCCAGGTTTGGTTCCCAGCACCCATGGCAACACATAACAGTCTATAATTATAGTTCTAAGAGAGTCAATTCCCTCTTCCAGCCTTTGCAGGTACCAGGCACACATGTGATACACATACATATGTGCAGGCAAACATTTTTTAATATGGGGCTAGAGAGATTGCTCAGTGGTTAAGAGCACTTAATGGTCTTACAGAGGACCCAGGTTCAGTTCCTAGCACCCACACAATGGCTCACAATTGCCTGTTAACTCCAATTCCAGGGAGTCTGACTCCCTCTTCTGGCCTCCCCGGGCTCCTGCATGCTCATGGCACACATAAACTCATGCAGGTACACACATAAGTAAATAAATAAATCTTATAAAATTATAGTATATTTTCTTTCCCCAAATACCCCCAATATTGTCATCTCAACACATAATCAATTTAAGAAGCTATTTAGGTATTTTACATTCTTTCCTCTATTCTGTCTTTAGAACCATATGTGTATTTAGCATTTAAGAGCACAGCTCAATGCAGACAAGTCACATTCAAGAGCTCGCTGACCACATGTGGCCCACGGCTGCCATACTGGCCAATGCAGTCCTGGAGGTTAAATGCCAGTAGTTGTTGAGCTGAACTGGGAGTGGAGAGCAGGGCAATAGCACAGCTGGCCTCAGTTCAGTCCTCGGGCTGCTCACATGAATGTGGATTTGAGGAGGATTCCCACCTTTCTCTGACAAGGTCAGTGATGTCTAAGCTTTGCAATGTGGTTCATGTTGAACATCTGGTTTCTGTCTCAGAGTTTAGACTTTACTATGTGCCAGGCAGAGGATGACTCTGAGCCCTGTCCCTACTAAAAACCTGGGCTGCCAAGTCTCAGGAGCTTCCCAAGTGAAGTACAGTTCACACACATTGTTACAGCTCACTGCCAGTAGAATTCACATGCTATGTGACTCCCCTTGAAGCCGCAGCCTGTGTCCCTCAGCATCACCATGTGCCTTTTTCTCTTGCTGTCTGCCTTCAGGTCTTTGTAATAAGCCACAACCATGACAATGCTAGCCTGAGCCCTTCTCTGCCCTGTCCTACAGGAGGTCACCTGGTTACCTCAGCCCCATCCAGCTTTCTTAGCCCTAGGAAGAAGAGTCTTCCAGAGATGCTGAATACTCAAGAGTAAAAAGATTTGACAAAGTGCTTCCAGCTTGGTACTGGGGTGTGGCACCTAACTGTGCTGTATGACGGTGTGACACTGAGCACTTGTCTGAGCCTCAATCTGAGCCTCCTCGTGAGACAAGGATATCAGTAAAAATGCTTTCCTTGGAGAGAATATGATCACATTCGCAAAGGTGTGTGGCTCAGGTCAGAACGTGGCAGGTGGGCAGGCAGTCAAAGCTGTAATTGGCCCTGAAGACTGCCGCTGTCCCTCCCTGAGCTCCTCCTACTTACCTCCAACGACGCCATGCAGACGACTTTGTTGGTGTGGTAGAAGAAAGTGGGCAGCACGTCAAATATAGTTGTTTCCGAGAGTATTAATTTCTATGGGAAATGGAAGCGGAGGAAGGAACTGTGAGCAGGTTTGACCCACCAGCCAGAGGGTGGGAAGAAGCAGAAGTTGGCTATGTCACTGTTGACTGCTGCAGTCGGTGTCCCCGAGAACAGGGGACTCCTCTGAGGGGAGCCTTAGAAAATTGGACAATGAAGGAGCGCAGGGTGACTGTGCCTAGAGCAGGGCTCCCACTTTCAAATGCTGATGGGATACCTGAAGCTTATAATAAGCCAGAGTCCTAGCAAGAGCCTGGGAAGGTGAAGCCAAGTCCCAGGCCCGAGGGCTCGTGCTTCCACGCATGATCCAGTACACCTGAATTTTAAGCCTTCATTTGCCAGGAGAGCCTCATACCTGTTGCCCTGCTCACTCTGCAGGACAGGGCTCCACACCCATCTCTCCCAGACCTGGCTGACCCCCTGTGGGACAGCCCTAGCCACTTAGCACTGAATTGCACCAAACTGGGGACTTATTGAGGGTAAGGAAAACCCACAATCCCAAAGACCCTGACCTGGGCCCCAGTATGTGCCCAGCAGGGGCTGGAGGAAGCAGAAGCCTTACCTTGAGGTTTTCTGGGCAGAATTGGTGTCCATACATGTCAATGGCAGACAGAAAGATGGACTCCACTTGGTTGTGCCGCAGCTCGTAGGAGGGGAGGTGGGAGGCAATCAGGACCTGCAGGGATGGATGGGGGTGGAGGGCTGAGAGGAGAGAAGCTGGGGGGTGGGAGGGCCACATGCAGGGGGGCCACATGCAGGGGCGCCACACTTTGAGACCAACCTGCCTGGCTCTGAGGGCCACCTTGCAATGCTCGCTCCTGCTCAGCTGAGTAAGCTCACTGAGGATGGAGGTCAGCTCGTCTGACAGGGCAGGGTCTGGACCACAGACCTCATCCTGAAGGGAACAAACACAGAGCCCAAGTGGCTTTCCTCTGCCCAAGGGGAACAGGCCAACAGTCAGCTGCTTGGGGAGGGGAGATCTAGCCTCAGCTCTCTGGATACATGCAACCCAGCCTAAGATACACACCCTTGCCTCTGTACCGAGGGTACATCTCACTCATTCACTCGTTCACTCATTTATTTATTCACCAGCTGATCTATACTTCAAAACATGCCCTCCACATCTGATGGGAAAGAAAATTCAACAAAGTCCCTTATCTGTAAGGTTAGAACCAAAAATGTTTGGGAGTTCATATTATTTCAGATTATGCAGTATATGTAGAGACAATGAGATTTCTTGGGGATGTGACCCACATTTAAATGTGAAACTCACTTATGTGTGTGGTATACCTGCACATGTGTATGCATCTTCACATGTGTGTATGGCTAAGCATTCCAGAGGTTGTCTTTAGGAATCTTCCTCAATAGCTCTTCACTTTATTTACTGAGACAGGGTCTCTTGTTGAACCTGGAGCTCAATGAGAATCCAAGCCTGGGGATCCCCTATCTCCACCTCCAGAGCGTTGGGATTACAGGTGGGCTACCACGTCCCCTCCCCAGTCATCGACTATTTGTTAGAAAGGACCAGAAAGTAAAACTTAGACTTTGCAGGTGGTGTGGTCTCTGTCCCAAGCATTTCACTTTGACATTGTTTAGTGTTAGTGGTATGGCTACACAATCAAACTTTATTTGTAACAACAAGCAAACAAGCAATAACACTCACCAAGCACCTGCTCCATGCTAGGCCCTCTTGGTTGTAATACCAAAAAATTCATTACTTTAATTTTTTTCTAATAAATTAATTTGATCAAAATCTCTTTCTTGTGGGTGTGGCTCAGAGGTAGAGCACTTGCCCAGCATGCATAGGCCCAGGGTTGCATGCCAGAACAGAAGAATAAGAACATGGGCTGGAGAGATGGTTCAGTGGCTAAGAGCACTGGCTGCTCTTGCAGAGGACCTAGGTTCAGTTCCCACAACTCACATGGCAGCTAACAACCATTCATAACTCCAGTTCCAGGGGATCTGACACCCTCTTCTGACCTCTGCAGGCACTGCACACAAGTGGTGCACTTACATACATGTAGGCAAAATACTCATACATGTTAAATAAATTTTTTTAAGTTTTAGGAAAAAAAAATATGAACAGGAGGATGAAAAGGAGGAAGAAGAGGAAGAGTAGGAGGAATAGCGGTAGGAGCAAACATTTGGAAACCCCCACTCCACCCTCAATTGGGGAGCTAGTCCCCATTCCTGCTTACAATCAGCATGATCACCAGCTGGTTCTTCTTGGCCACCTGTGCATGCGAGAAGATGCAGTCCAGCACCTGGGTCATATCTGGCTTGAACTGCTCCCTGAGGTTGATCACGCACTTGTCATAGTGTGCTATAGGGGAGACAGGAGACCAGCAGGATGAAGTCCAGACACCTCCCTACTTGCCCTACCCAGGCTTGGTATTGACACTGGATGCAGCATCTCTTACCTTGTTGGAAATGATGCTCCACTTGTAAGTATCTCCGCAGGAGGTCCAGTACCACGGTTTTCATGTAGCCACGGGTTCCGCTGCGGTATCTGGGGAGCATCAAAAGCGCCCATATTAATATGACCTCCACTTCCTGGAATGCCTAGATATCTTAGCTAGGTTTTTATGGCTTTAAAAAAAGAGAAGGAAGCTCAGACATGGTGGCACATGCCTGCAGCTCACTACTCCAAAGACTGAATTTGTGGGGATCCTGCACTACAAAGGGAGACTGCCGCAGAAAACCAAGGACTGGGGATGTAGCTCAGTGGTAGCATGCTTGCCTAGCATGTGTAAGGTCCTGGTTTCATCCAGCACTGCAAAAAAGAGCAGGAGGATAAGGAGCAGGAGAAAGATGGAGAAGGAGGAGGAAGAGGAAGAAGAGGAGGAAGAGGAAGAGGAAGCGGTGCTCTAAGGTATCTAGAGTGCACCCTCAAATCCTTAGGCTATAAGGACATGGTATAGGCTCCTTAGTGTTAGCTGAGCATGTCAGTGGAGCCAAGACTTGCTCATCAAACCAGAAGCCAAGCTAGGCTGGTGGCCAGGACTAATCCTCTGGACAGCACCTGTCCAGCACCAGAGAGAAGGGAAAACTTTAAGTGTTAAGAAGCTAAAGAGGGAAAGCGAATTTTAGCAGATTGTCACGAAACAAAAATTCCCAATTACCTACACAACATATAAATTTTTTAAGATTTTATTATTTTTTAATTTTATGTGAATGAGTGTATTGCTTGCATGTGTGAAAGTGCACCCGTGTCGTGCAATGCCCTCAGATATAAGAAGAAGGTGTCTCATTTCCCCGGAACTGAAGTTATGGATGGTTGTTAGCTGCCATATGGTGCTGGGAATAGAACCCAGGTCCTCTGCAAGAGTAATCAGTGCTCTTAACTGCTGAGCCATCTCTCCAGCCCCGATATAAAGTTTTTTTTTTATATTTTATGTGTATGTGTGTTACCCACATGTATGTAAGCGTACTTGTACATGCAGTGCCCTGAGAGCCAGAAGAGGGTATTGGGTCCCTGGAACTGGAATTATGGAGGCTTGTTAGCCACCATATGGATGCTGGGAAGTGAACCTGGGTCCTCTGGAAGAGTAGCAAGTGCTCTTAACCACTGTGCCATTTCTCTAGCTCCATATGAAGATGTTTCAAAAAGTCAACTTTGAAGATATTTGCCAAAAGACCTCTGTGTAAATGTCACTTCATTGTTTGGAAACAAAAATATCTATAATATTTCTTAGCACAGGGAAGGGATTTTCTCTCCTTCCCTCCCTCCCTGCACTACGGATTGAACCTACAGCTTCACCTGTGCTAGTCAAATGCTCCATTGTTGAGCTTTAGCCCCCATGGGCAATTCTGATTCTCAGGGAAAGAAAAACCAGCTTAACCTCCAACTCACTAAAGACAACAAAAGACAGTCAATCTAAAGCAATCACTGATGCAAGTGTGACTTTAAAAACAATACAAGGCAGATCTCTGACATTTAAATTCAACACAGAAACTTTATTAGCATCACATGTTCATGTTTTCCAGGTATTTCTCTGATGGATGGGTTTAAGGTCAGCAGTCAATGTGTTTGGGGAAAGGATTCCCCTGCTAGTCCTTGGCTACTGGACTTCCTCAGCTACAATCATAAGGGCCAGTGTGACCCCCCCATGGGTCAGGACTCCTTGAAAAGTCTGCGGACTTCTGCAAACCACACTCAGAGCACTTCTTGGCTTCTGGTACATGAGAATTATGCATTGAGTTGAATGGCTCAAATCTGAGAATGTTTTGATTCTGTTCATATAAGACAAGCTTTCTTGCAAGATGATTTCTTCACAAATCAAAAATAAAGTGGCAAAAAAAATCTTTAAAATTAAAAATTTTTTTATTTATGATGATCATGGGTAGATGTATATATGTATGCACATGTGTATGTATGTGTGCAGACATGGGTGTGAGCATGCTATGGAGCTTGTGTGAAGATCAGAGGACAACGTTCTGGAGTCTGTTCTCTCCTACCACTACAGGTTCCTTCCCCATTGCACCATCATCCTCTCCAGCACCCCCAAATTATTGTTCACATTAGAATAGTTGAGTGGTAGACTAACCCCTGCTCCAAAGCTACCTGCAATACAGGCAAATTATCTACCAACTTTCCCTTGCAATGGTCTCCAAAACCAGACAATCATGGATTTATACAGTCCTTACCATACAGAAAACCATTCCATCCTATTGTGTCATAATCCAAACTAAATCCAAGATGTAAACCCCACACACACATCAATATTAGGAGTCATCACTTTACAAAAAAAAAAACCTATTCATAACTCTATCTGACTTATGAAGTGGTTTTGTTCCCATTTTACCAACTAGCAACTGAGATTTGCAGAAGTCTCTACTTTAGTAAAGGTTAGACTGAGCAACAGCAGTGCCAGCACCAGAATGTACCTTTTGTTAGTGGAAGGCAGCCAGGGAGTGTTCCCAAGGAGCTTGCCACCTATGGGGTACCTCCATATGACAACAGTGCCCCTGGAGGGTCCCAGATGCACTCACCTCTGGACCAGCTGCACGATGCTCTGTGTGTTCATGAAGAAGACCTCTCGGTCAGCCTTTCGCTGCAGGGTGGCGGCGTGGCAGTCCAGGATGGTGGCTATCTGCATGAGAACACAAGACAGGTCTGACTGCCTCCAATTACACAATCTGGCTGCCACAGGGAAGTATGCTGAGAGCCCCACCACAGGCTCCCAGGGAAGTCCCAGCCAGGATGCATTCAAAGACCCAAAACTCCAGCCCCTAGCCATCTGGCCATTCTGGGACAGCCCTGTTCACCCCCTCAGTGTCTTGCTGGAGGACTCCAAGAGCTCAGAATGACAACAATCACACAAAGAAGTGCACAAACAAAACAACACCTCCCCGCCCCACGGGACAAGAGGAGGAAGGGTTGGCACGTGCAGCTGCAAGGTGGGGAAGGGTTTCACTTTATATCTTTATTATTAGATTCCATGCCATTTGTATGTTGCTTTTTGACAACAAAGAGTTTTTATTATTACTATTGTGGTGTGTGTGCATCATGTATGTGTGAGTGCATCTGCCATGGCGAAGGTCAAAGGACAACTCTATGGAGTCAGTTCTCTCCTTCCACTTTTGTGTGGGTTCTGGGAATTAAACTCAGTTCACCAGGCTTGCTCTTGGCAAACCAAGTGCCTTTACCAGCTCAGCCATCTCTCAGCCCCCAACAAAAGTATTTTTGAAGAGAAAGAACCTTGGATCAATGACAAATTCCTGAAAGTTCCAAATGCCCTCAGGAGCAATGCCTTTGTTATTTCTGACTGGGACCCAACTGCCATTCTACTCCAGCTGCGGAAGTAGGAAGGACAAGGCACTAAACTGTGCAGTTATCCTGTCCACAGGCAGGGGTCCTCATTTCCCCTCCACCTAGCCCCTGGTGGATGCTAATCTACTTCCTTTCTATACTCATTTGCCTGTTCAGGGCATTTCCTATCTGTGGACTCAAGAATCATGTGGTCTTTTGACTGGTTCCATTCTCTTAGCATAATAAGGCTCATCCATGTGGTAGCAAGAATCAGTACTTCATTCCTTTATATGGCTGAACAATATTCCAACCTTCAGGAGCTGGGGATGTAGCTCAGTGGTAGAGTGCTTGCCTAGCATGCCTGAGGCCCAGCACTGTAAAAACAAAACAAAAAGTCCAATCTTTAGAGTTGTTTACCTCTGCAAACAAATAACCTGATTAGCTTCTCAAAGTGGGGGAAGGGGAGGACAGCAAGAGGAAGTGTGAAGGGGGGGGGTGGAGTGAGGCCTGGGGACCTGGGTTGTACCTCAAATACCTGCTGCTTGGGAGAAAATGCTAGGGTTCCACAGAGAAGGTTCAAAAGAAATCCCAGACCCACAACATTTGGGGCTGGTCCAGCTTGAGAGAGAGGCCAAACCTGGGGACTGAGCATAGGTGTGGCTGGTTGGGCAAGTACCTGCTGGCTGGGGAACTGGCACAGCACTGAGGTGATGTTACTGGCATATTGGGCCATCACCCTGCGGACTGCTTTCTCCACGGGGGCGGGGATGCGGCCTGCTATGCTGGTCATGATTTCTTGCAGCTCCAGCAGTGGCAGCGACGGGTGTCGGAGGGTCATCATCAGTTTCTGCACCCACTCTTTCAGCTGTAGTAGGACCACAGCATCAGTCACAGCCCATTCAATCCACCTGCCTCAGCCAACCAACTCAACAACCCAACAACCCAGGGCTGCCCTGGAGAGGCAGAAGATCTAGACCAAGCAGCCTCTGGAGCAGTCCAGAGTGGAGGGGCCCCAGTCCTTCCACATAGTGAGACTCTTGTGTCCCTTCTCTGAGTATCTAAATAGTATCTAATAAGGTCACATGACAAACTAATGCTTGTGGGGCACTTGCTTGGTGCCAGGTAGTGTCCAAAAACCTTTACATTTGATCTTTAGAAAGAGCCCTATTAAGTGGGAGAATGATTTTCCCATACTCACTAAAACACAGAGAGGTTAATTAAGTTACCCAAAGTCACTCAGCTGTTAAGATGTCCTCTGTGACACATGAAGGAAACCCTCTGGGTTCTACACAGGGGCTCACTTGACCAGCTCACCACAGACCACTTACCTTTATGCTGAAGAAAGGCTCTGGCAGGCAGTAGCCACTCATGACATTGGTCAGGTTTTCCAGGACACTGTGGAACACCTGGTGCAGCTTCTCCCCCAGGATGGGCAGAGTCTGCTGGGCAGGGAGCTTCCCTATGAACGGTTCCGCCTGGTGAGACACAGAAATGGGTCATGGTCAAACTGGGCAGGAGGCAGAGCCACCAGCGTCTGGAATGAGGATGGAGCCCAAGAAAGGGCAGGAGACAATGCTATCCTGAGAACTTGAACTTGATAAGTGCCCATCTGGATCCAGGTCTTCCAGATCATCCCCTCTGTAAGTGCCACAAATTGCCAACTGCTGAAAACAATTTTAGATGGAGTTAGAGTTTTATTCTGATTTGCTTTGTGATGAAGATTGATCTTCCTAGTTCTCACTTTTTTGTCTCCTTTTCTGTTTGTTTGTTTTTTGTTTTGGAGATTCTTGTCTTGTCTTGTTTTGAGACGAGGTCTTACTAACAGCCCAGCTGGCCTCAAACTCATGTTCCTCGTGCCCCAGCCTCCTGAGTGCTGGGGTTATAGACCTGCACCACTATGCCTAAATTAATGTAATTTTTAAATTTTAATTTTTTAATATTTGTTTTATTTTAAGTATGTGTGTATGTGTATGTATGAGTGCAGGTGCCCATGGAGGCCAGAGTCATCAGATCTACCTGGTTGTGAACTACCCAACATGGGCTGTTGAGAACCAAACTCAGGTCCTCTGCAAGAACAGTAAGCCCTCTTAACTGCTGAGGGATTTCTCCAGTCCCAAATTTTAGAATTTTTATTTTACTTTATTTTGTGGTACTGAGAATTGAATCTAGGGCCTTGTACATGCTATGCAAGTGCTCTACCACTGAGCTATGTGCTATGGTCTTTTTGAGACAGGGTCTCCCTGTGGCCCCAGCTGGTCTGGAATTCACTATGTAGACCAGATCCACCTGCCTCTGCCTCCCAAGTGCTGGGACTAAAGGTGTGCACCACCACGCCCAGCTTATAAAATAATTTTTTAAAGTACTCCCAGACAGCCTGTAGAGCCAAGCATGGTAGTATACACCTGTAACTTCAGCACTCAGGAGATGGCGGCAGAAGGATCTCGAGTCCAAGTCTAGCCTGGGCTACACAGCAAGCCCTGTCTCAAAAAAAATTTTTTTTTAAATCTGGGCCAGTGAGATGGCTCAGTGGGTCAAAGCACTTGCCATGCAAGCCTGACAACCTGAGTTCAAGCCTCAGAACCCATGGTGGAAGGAGAAAACCAACTCCCAAAAGTTGTCATTTGACCTCTGCACATATACCACAGCACAAGCACACCTTCACTCTCACATATCACACACATAACATTATTTTAAAATTTTTAAAGTCCAAGGGCTGGGGGACGTCAGTCAGTGCTAGAGTGCTTGTCAAGTGTGATAAAGACCTTGGGTTCATCCTCAACACTGCAAGGAAAAGAAGGGCAGCCTCATGGGGTAGGGGGAGGGACCTTGAGTTAGAGCTCCTGAGAGTGAGAGTGGGCTGTCTGGGGCAGGTCCTTCCAGACAGAGGGATTAGGCTCAGGGCAGGAGACTTTCATGGGCTCATGAAGCTAGGGAGAGGGAGAAAGAAACCATGGAAGGCACCAGAGGGCAGCTTAGCTGGGCTCCCAGGTCATTGGAATAATTTGGGATTTAAGCAGAATGCAAGACTGGAGAAAAGGGGCGCAGCTGTACAAAGTTTCTGCACCACACCGAAGGCTGCACAGAGTGTGTCTGTGGGTGATACAGGCAGAGGACAGGTGGACTCAGGTCTGCTGTCTCTGAACAGGAAGACACTGTGGGAGTTCCCGCACTGTCAGAGCACCTGGGACTGGGCGCTACATACCGCATGCACTTTTGAAGGGTCATCAAGCTCTAATCTAGCCACCACACAGCCAGCTTCCAGCACGACCCCTGGACGCTTGATGTACTTTACCCGGCCAGTTTCCTGCACATTCAAGGTCATGATCATCTTCATCACCTGTTTTGTAGAAAGAAGAATTAGGACAGACCTCCCCAGGACTGGCACCTAGAGTCACCCAAAACTTGGGATTCTCAAGCAGGGAGTACTCTCTGGAAACAGACCAACTCTCCAGGCAGCAATCAAACAGAAAGAACAAGAAACCCCTCCTTTCTTGCAGCCTGCTGTGTGCCAGACTTGGTGCCATCTAGGAACAGTTTCAGTCTGCAAGGCCAGCCAGACACCACAGTCATCCTTACACTGTGGTGCAAAGCAGTGTCATGTGGTGATGCTGGTATACATGATGCTGTTTCACAGATAAATTACTTTTTCTTTTTTTTTTAATTATTGGTGCTAGGGATGGAGCCCAGGTCCTCAGGCATGCTAGAAAAATGTTCTACCACTGAGTTGTACCTCCCACTCCTTCTTAATTTTTATTTTCAAAGGGAGGCTCCTCTCTCAGAAATACATCTAAATCCTACTATGTATACCAGTTAGCATACAGTCAAGCACCACATAGTGATCTTTTGGTCAATGACAGATTACATAGACAGTGTCACAAGGCTATAAGGATGCTGATCTAGTGTAGTGACCTTTGACCTAGTGACACCACAGCCATCCCTACACTGTAGTGCAAAGCACTGTCACATTGTGATGAGCTGGTGTGAATGAGCCCATTTGCACTGCCAGTCATGTCCACTGTAACACATATACTATGTACAGTATAGAGTACTGGATAGTGACTGTGGTGTATGAATTTGTAACACACACTTACTATCGCTGGTGTACAGTATATTCTTTTCAGAGTTAAAAAATAAAATTGCCGGGCTGGAGAGATGGTTCATCGGTTAAGAACACTGGTTTGGCAGCTAACAACTGTCCATAACTCCAGTTCCAGGGGATCCAACAGCCTCTTCTGTCCTCTGCGGGCATTGCACGACATGGGTGCACTTATCTACATGCAGGCAATACACTCATACACATAAAATAAAAATAATAAATAAAATATTTTAAAAAATAAAATAAAATTGCCTGCCACACAACCTGTTTCACCAGCAGCAATCTCGTGCCCTCTCGTGCTTAAAGGTCACATCTAGTGACTGACCTACACCTTCCAAGTTTGTGTACATACACTCTACAATGTTCACAGGACAAAGAAATTGTCCAGGAATGCCTTCCTAGAATGTATCCTGTTGCTAAGCAACACATGGCTCTAAGGCTCCCATTTATCCACCCCCACAACTGTATAAATTAAACATCCTGTCCACGGTTGAGGGACCCCCAACTATATAAATCAAACATCATGCCCACGGCTGAGGGCACCCTCTGGGGAGTGCTTTGTGAAGTGAAGTACCTGTTCCCAGTCTAGTCAAGGGCTTGCAACTTGCCTGTCCAAATGTCTAGAGATGCCAAAGGCCTGAGCTGTGTGTCCATGGTATCAGCTGCAGACCTTGGTACCAAGCTGCCTCTTGCTCAGCAATCTCCAGCTTGAGCACCAAGTCAGCCCCTGGGCTGGAGACCCAAGACACCCGCCCCCATCCATCACTTCTGTGATTTCCAGAAAATGCCTTCCCCTCTCTGAGCCTTAGTGCCTCCAACAGTATACTGGGGACGACGAAGTGCCCCTTCAGAGGGCCTTACAAGGAACACTGAGGTGAAGAACCTGGGCTGCAGCAGGAGGGCAGTAGCAACCACTGTACTCTTGCTGGTGTTTCCCCTGCCCTGAGTACTCTCTTCAAAGCACAGAGCTTCTGAAGGCTTGCCTTAAAGCCTGGTTTTAGGTGATCATCCTTGCCTAGCCTTCTGGGGTCTGATTTCTTTGTATATAAAACAGGGATCATCTATGTTCCCACCTCATAAACTTGCCAATCAGGTTTTAAAAGTAAAGACAGGGTTGGGGTAGAGCTTAGTGACAAAGCACTTGTCTAGTATGTTTGAGGCCTTAGGGGCCATCCCTAGCACAGTCCAAAAATAAATAAATAAATAAAGACACTTAGATCAGCATCTGCTGCATGGTGCTTGGCAAATGTTGGCTTAGTTTTTAGCCACTGCCATCTCGATTACTAATCAATTCTTACTTATCTGAGACTTCATCTTTGAATTCTGCAGGGATTTGGGGCTGAATCCCACAGATCAAGGTAAGAAGCCTGCAGGCTGAGGGACAGACCAAGCCAGGGGAGCAGGGTTTCCAGGCTACAGATTCACAGCCACTGGACTGGCTCTGCGGTCACCTCCATCTCCGCATAGCTGCTCCCAGCTTCAACATGGCCTCCGTCCTCCACTGTGTACTGTGTCAGCTTCCCAGCTGAGGGGGATCTCAGGACCGTGGGGTCATTCTCCTTTTCAAAAACACACGTCTTGTTGCCAATAGTGATTCGGTAACTGGGATGGAGAAAGAATGGGATGTGACAGACAGACGAGGCTCAGCAAATTGAGTCAGACTTTGGGGATTATCTCCCCTTTCTGAGGACAGCCATGTTGTCACCTTCCGGGGCATTAAGGTCTCTACATTCCCAAAGGGTGGCAGCTGACAGCTATCACAGAGATGGTACAAGTGAATTAAGAGAGTAAAACATTGCTTCCTTCTGGCTGAAATCTAGTTTCTTTTAGTGATATAGTCTCCCAGGGCCTGACAAAGGGAAATCAATCAATCAACATTGTTCAATAAATTAACTGATTCTAAATACTCCCTTTTCACTGAATTGAGGAGAATGGGCTTTTGGGCAGCACCTACAATAATCTAGAATTCTCTTAGATAGAACATGGTTAGAAGACAGAGTAGGTGTTGCTCAGGTACAACTCTAACCAGCCTTCTTCCATAACATGGAGTACTGCAAAGGGCATCTCCCTCACTGACCACAGCCTTCCCAGGAGCGGGATTCTGGTGTGTGTGTTCTCTCTCTCTCTCTCTCTCTCTCTCTCTCTCTCTCTCTCTCTCTCTCTCCACCCTTGGTTCTCCATAGTTTGAGCTGCCTCCTCTGCATGGTCACTCATGCTCCACTGCAATCTCACTGTGGTCATATGAACCAGAGCCAAATGTCTGGACCCATCATGTGATGCCCCATGAGTACAGCTTCCAGAGCATCCTTTATCCATCGAGACACACAGCCACTTTCACCACTCTCTGCATGTCTGATGAGTCATCTTCCCCCCGTGAGTGGCGGAAGCCCATGAGTGGTGGCAGTAAGGCTATACCCAACCCTGGCCCAGCACCTGCCAGGAGGTAGCTCAATAGCCAATAGCTGGATGACACATTACTCTGTGCCCATCCTCCAGGCTGTGGGCACTGGAGTTCAGACCTAGGGCAGCTGGCAACTCTTCACTGCAGACTGTGTGGCTCGGAGTCATGTCCCAATCATCTCTAAATCTTCTGATGCAATCTGGGAGCCCCTTTCCCCTAAATACCTGCCAGGTGGAACCTCTCCATGTGTCCCAGAGTAAACCAGAACAGGCCTCATCTAAATCCTCAGGCCCACACAGAGGTCAGTTGCATTTCAAATCCATGCTGCCCAGACCTCGGCACTCACGCACCTGTCCACCTCTTCCTTCATGTAAGTGGTGTAGCTGCTGCCATTGTATGATAGGAGCAGTCCCCCATCATTGAGCCTGTGGGCATCAATCTCGATGTGGCAGCCATTCATGATGAGAACGAACATAGTCAGGGACTGCCGGGCCACCTGTGGGGACAGGTTCACATCAGCAGCTGGACTCAGGATGGCTCCCATGATGGTGGGAAGGAGCTGGCAGTGCACTGCAGGGGCACTGAGGGAGACAACACTTGCCCTGGGTGTGGACAAATGGCTTCAGGCTGCAGACACAGGCCCTGTACATCCATCTACTGCTGAGCTGGGGGCTTCCTTGGGATTCCGGTCTAGAAGCATCAGCTCTGAGCAGGACTACCACAGCCAGCACTGACTGGGGCTTGCACTCGGGGTGAGGTAACCCTGAAGACTTCACCAGGGATCTAGTCCACTAAACTGTGTGTCCCCCAAACTTCTATGCTGAAACTGAGCCTCACAGGGGGTCTTATTAGGAAGGGAGGCTTTTGGAGGAACTATATATATCGTGGGGTGGAGCCTTCCTAGTGCCAATATAAAAGGGACCCCCAAGGTCAGTCAGATGGCTCAGTGGGTAAAGGCACCTGCAATCAAGCCTGATAACTTGAGTTTGATGCCTGGGACCCACATGATGGAAAGAGAGAACTGGCTTCTTCATGTTGTCCTCTGACCTCCACACACACACACTGTGGTGCACGCACACACATAAATAAATGTAATAAAAAAACAGGCTGGCGAGATGGCTCAACAGTTAAGAACACTTGTTCTTTCAGAGGACCCAGGTTCGATTCCAAGCATCGACATGGCAGCTAACAACTGTCGGTGACTCCAGTTCCAGGGGATCCGACACCCTCTTCTGACCTCTGCAGGCATTGCAGACACGGGTGCACTTACACAATGCAGGCAAAATACTCATATATATAAAACAAAGAAAAATCATAAATACAATATTTCAAAGGGATTCCAGATAACTGTCTTGCCCTCTTCCACCATGTAAGGACACGGCAAGAAAAGGCCCCACTAGAAACCAGGAAACAGGCCCTCACCAGACACCAGATCTGTCAATGCCTTGACCTTGGACTTCCAACTTCCGGAGCTGTAAGGAATGCATTCTGTGGTTTATAAAGCCCCTGGTCTATGATACTTTGCTGTAATAATAGCAAAGACACCTGAACATGGACCATGGCTTTTCTTAGGGGCTACAAGAGACTTGGGACCCCCAAGAAAAGCATGTGCAGTAAGCCTTGGTTGGGTGCTGCGCTTCTACCCAAATGAAATACCAGCCAAACCCTGGCCCTCAGTTCATTATATCTCCACAACATACTCATATGTATTACATTGTACTGATGCCAATATTTTGAGATAAAAGATAGCAAGAAATACATATTGCAGCATTCTTTGTGCTGATGATAAACTGAGCCATCCAGCAGCTTTGTAATGGAAGGCTTCAGACGTGCAGCGTAGAACTGACCCACCCAGCAGCCTTGTGATGGAAGGCTTCAGATGCGCAGCATAGAACTGACCCACCCAGCAGCCTTGTGATGGAAGGCTTCAGACGCACAGCATAGCACTTTGTAGTTCATAGCACTTTGTCACAGAAGCCAAAGAAAACTAGGCAATCTGTCAAGACCTCTGTGTATGGTTCAACCCTGCTCTTCTAAACTCAGTGTTTAGGGTTCATGGTCCCGAACTGCACCTTGAGTCCTGAGGAACACAGGGCTCAGATCCCAGCACACTCACTCTAGGTTCCTGGGACAGTTCACAAATGAAACAAAACAAATTCCCACAAAGCTCAAAATGTCAGGAACTTCTGAGAAGGACGGACTTTTACCTTGAGAATGTACTTGATACCTCCATAAATCAACTCTACATCCACAATGTTCAGCAGAGAATCAGCTGGGAGGACCTGGCCCCTGAAAGAGATGAACCTGCTGTCAGTCCAGGATGGGATGGAGGGCCCTACAGCATCCCCTGGGCTCAAGAATATCCCCTGTGCTCCCCACAGGCCTGGGGTGGGACTCAGTGAAAGAGCAGGTAGTTGGTATATGCAAGGTCCTAGGCTCCATCCCCAGCACTAAAAATGAACCAGTCAGTCGTCAGTCAGTCATCACATGACTCTCTGCTCTTCCTGAGTATCATCAGCAAACAAACTAACATAAAAAGCTAAATCTGGGCCGGAGAGATGCCTCAGCAGTTAAGAACACTGAATGTTCTTGCAGAAGACCCGGGTTCGAATCCCAGCACCCACATGGCAGCTAACAACTGTCAGTAACTCCAGTTCCAGGGAATCCAACAGCCTTTCTGTCCTCCACGGGCATTGCACGACATAGGTGCACTTACCTACATGCAGGCAATACACACATACACATCAAAAAAAAATTTTTTTAAAGCTAAATCTGATTAAAAGTGTGCAACACTTTAAACTTTAAAAATGCTTCAAAACCCATAATGGGGACTGGGTGTAGTGGTAGCCCCCCTTTAATCCCAGCACTCGGGAGGCAGATGCAAGTGAATCTCTGTGAGGTCGAGACCAGCCTGATCTACATAGTGGGTTCCAGGCCAGCCAGTGCTACACAGTGAAACCCTGTCTAAAAGATGAAACAAAACAAACAAACAAAAAACCCATAATGGTTTCTTCTGGGAGAAAATCCCACATAGAAGTCAGGTGTGGTGGCACATGTCTATAAACCTGACACTCAGGAGGCTGAAACAGGAGGGATAATAAGTTAAAGGCCAGCCTGGGCTACATACGAACACACACACACACACACACACACACACACACACACACACAAACAACTTCTCAGTCTGGGGGCCTGCCAGCACAGGGATTTGACTCTATTACGACTCCAAAGCAAGATAAGCAAGCACTAATGTTGATTCTTGTATCGGTTTGGGAGAAGTGTCATTTGTTTGTCACAGCTGTTCTCAATGGAGGGTGATTTTGCTCCTGTACCTGGGACATTCACAGAGTGGGCTGCCCCTGGTGGGCAGAAGACATGGATTCTGCCATCACCCTAAAATTCAGAGGACAGTTCCCCCAAGTCCAGCCTCAAACTGACCATGCTGACAGGAAGCACTAACCACTTCCCATCCCAGTCCTTTTCTCTTGTCACCTGCCATTCAGGTGAGAGTCTCTGAAAGAGTCAGTAGAGATAACCTTTGACTCACTAGACTTCATTCACCCCCTTGAGCTCTGAGCTCCGTGGACTACGGTGTCTCTTACAGAAGCCAGCAAGAACCTACACAAGGCTGCAAGGTAACTGCTAGCTGGCCTCATCCCATCCATTGGACCTCCCATGACCACAAGCCCCTCTGTGCCCACCCTCAACCTCTTCTGGGTAGCATAGGTTTAGTCAAAGAATGCTGGAGGCAAGTCCATAGGAGAGGCGTCCCAGGTCCCTGGTGATGGATTCACCCTTAAAGCGCATCCTGCCTGGCAAGGAAGCATGTGAGTGTGATGCCAGCATTCAGGAGGCTGAAGCAGAAGGGTCCCAAGTTTGAGGCCAGCTTGGCCTCTAGAGTGAAACTCCATCTCAAATCAACAATAACAACAGCATCGACAAAAAGCCCATCCTGCCTCCCACGCAAGAGGGGAACGAGAGACCAGCATGGCCTACCTTTCCAAGGAGTGCAAGAAATCCGTCATGCAGGTTCTGAACATCGAATCTGCCACGTTCAAGGCCCCACACACCACTCCGAGCATGATGTCTGGCTTCTCTGCCTAGGAAAGACTACAGGCCTCAGTGCCCATGGGAAGGTGCAGATCTCAGCCACCCTTAGGGGAGGTGGAGTACCCTACCTGCACCCTCTCAGCAATGAGGTGGTCCAGCCACCCAGTGTCAGTGTCGTTGTTCTGGAAGCTCTCAGTCTCCAGGAGGTTAATGAGGTACTCCACGGTAGTCCGGAAGTCACCCCGGATGGACAGTTCCTTCAAAGCCACCACCATGTTCCTAGACAGGAAGACATGTGCTTGGCTTTCAAACTCATGAGTTCCTGTGGATATTTTCATGGCATGCTTCTCAGAGCACTACAGAGCATAGGAGGCAAGAGGGGGTTCAGGAGGGGATAGCCAGGGCTCAGTCTCAGCTCCACACAACTGAGTGGTGTCATACAAGTGACTTAACCACTCTGAGTCTCAGTTGCCTCCTCTGGAAATTTGGGGATAACCCTGGAAGTATGTGTTGAAGGCTGCAAGGAGATACTCCATGTAAAGCAGTTCCCGGTCATAAATGTCAGCTGCTACAAACGATTAAGCTTCAGTCTAATCAATAACTATTCTAGGTAATGAGAAATAAAAACAGTCTCTCTAGTTGACAGCAAGTCTGTCTAATCTTGGCCTATTCAAATCTTCTTGGTCCCGAACAGAGCCCCTTCTCCCTGTCCCCTCGCTGCACTGTCTGGGTGCTTCTGAGCCCCTGCACACGCAAACACCGTGACCTGGCCCAGCAGCCTGGCAGGCTCCAGGGCTGTGGGATCACAGTGAATGTTTGGGGATGGGCCTCTTCCTGGAAGGGGGGCTTTCCACATGTGACAGAGTTCCCCTGAGCCTTGAGTGGGTATGGGACAAGAGTAATAATGGCCCCTTTTAGGAATGAGGAAATGAAGCCACACTGAGGTCAAATGAGACTGTGAACAGGATACAGGAAGTCAGGGTGGGGTTAGGACCTGAATCCCAGAGTGAAGCCCCATGACTGAAGGGAGTCCAACTTGTCCTGGTTGATTCCTAGATTTAGCACTGATCTAGAAGAGCCAATCACAGAATGCAAGACAGGGGATTCCCCCTGCCAGACGCCAATAGCAATAAAAGCTGGTGTTTTCCCATCAAAAGCTGATGCAATTGCTGGTGGCACCGAGGTGTGCAACAAACTTCGGGTGCTTTCACTCGGAGCAAACTGGGCTCACCGTCTTCTGTTAATTAACGGCCTTATTTTCTGCAAATCCTCCCTCATACACTCCAAGGATCTCAACATGCTAATGTATATGATTAAAATTAATTATTCTAAGCTTTATTCTACCATTAAAACCATCAAGCTCAAATCAATTAACTAATGGTTAAGCACCCAGGCCAGAGTCTAATGCTTTTTAAATGAATTGTCCCCAATTCCTTTGGGCTCTTTTTACTCTGAAGAGTAGCTATCCACCTGCTGCAGGGGAAGGCTTAATTACAGTATAAACTGGATTTTACCTTTCTGGGCCCACATCAAGGAAGGGGAATGAAACTTGGGGTATTAAATAATAGGGGAGTCCCTGGTCAATGCAAGTTTCTTGGCTCTGTCAAAACTGTAGTGATGGTGATTTGGCAGAGCAGGGGACCATTGTCATAGGCAGCGGGGCGGGCCAGGGGAGGAGGGACAGTGTGCAGAAAGATACCCCCAGAAGAAACTGAGTCTTAGAGAGACTACGACCAAAAAGGGAACTATTTGTGAGGTTTCTAAGGTACCACTGTCCCTTTTTTGAGCCTAGTACTCAGCACCTTTTAAACACCTTTGAATAGTCTTTTTAAAAATTATTTATTTTTATTTTATGTGTATCTGGGGTATGTGTGTATGTGCATGTGTGTGCATGCTCCAATATGTGTGTGTAGGTCAAAGGACGACTCTTGGGAATGGGTTCTGTCCTGCCACCTTGTGGGATCTGGGGCTGAAACTCAGGACATCAGGTCTGTGCAAAACTGCCTCTGGGTATCTAGTTCTTAAAAGATGGAGGCAAGTTGCCAGGCATGGTGACCCAACCCTTTAATCCCAGCACTTGGGAGGCAGAGGCAGATGAATCTCTGTGAGATCAAGGCCAGCCTGGTCTACATTGTGAGTTCCAGGCCAGCTGGGGCTATAGGGAGACCCTCTCTCAAAAAGAACCACCCCCCCAAAAAAGAGGGAGGCAGTGGGGCTAGAGATGGCTCAGCAGGTAAGAGCACTGGCTGTTCTTACAGAGGACCCAGGTTTGATTCCCAGCACCCACATGGCATTAACAACCATCTGTAACTCCAGTTCTAGGGGAATCCGACACCCTCTTCTGACCTCCACAGGCATTGCACGACATGGGTCCACTAACACACATGCAGGCAATACACTCATACACTAAAAATAATAAATAAAATAGTTTTAAAATTCTATTTTTTAAAAAAGGGGGAGGAATCCCAGCACTCGGGAGGCAGAGACAGGCGGATCTCTGAGTTCAAGGCCATAGTGGTCTACATAGTGAGTTCCAGGACAGCTGGGGCTACAGGGAGACCCTGTCTCAAAAAGACCAAAAAAAGGGGGGGGGGAACAAGGAGATAGAGTCAGGAAGGGAGACAAGTGGGCAGGAGATACTGACGAAATGGCCTCTTCACGGTTCTCGCCCCAGGAGAAGCAGTGGCCAAACTGGGAGTCGGCGAACTCGTGTAAGCCCCCAGCTGCAGCCACGCTGAAGTAACCCCACACGTTCTTGCTACTGCGGAAATTCAGTTCCTGGACTGTCCCGGAGCTTGGCTTAAAGCCCTGGAGCCCAGGGAGGGAAAGCAAAACAGAAGAAGTTGTTACCCTGGTGTATTTTCATTGAATTCAATTCTGGGAAAGCCCAGAAAACTACCATAAGCAAAAGGCAGGGGCATCAACAAACAGGCATTTCCTGCAACAGGTGTGTGTGAGCATGCCTTTTTAGGTGTGTCCAGATGAGCACTTTGGTGTCTTTAAAAAACTGTAAAAGAAGCTAGGGAAACAGTTCTATCAGTAAGGTGGTTGCCTTGCAAGTAAGAGGATCCAAGTTTCCACCCTAGAACCCACATTAAAAAAAAAACCACAGTGCACACTTGCAATCCCAGTACTAGAGAGACAGGCAGAACCCTGGGGCTCACTGGCCAGCCCAGCTTAACTACTTGGCAAGCTCTGAGCTAGTAAGAGGTACTGTCTCAAAAAATAAGGTGAGTGGTGCCTAAAAAGTGACACATGAGGTTGTCCTCTGATCTCCACATACATGTGCACACATAAACATACACCTTGACACATTTAGTCAGGTATAGTGGCACATGCCTGTAATCTCAGCACTCAGGAAAATTGGGACTTCAAGATCATCTTGGCTATATAGTGAGTTCAAGGCCAGCCTGGACTCATGAAACCCTTTCTCAAAAACATTTAAAAAATGTATATGAACAATGACGAGTTGGGCTGGGGAAGTGTCAGAGTGATGGGGTCAAAGTCGATGGCTGCTGGGGCTGGGAGAAGGTATATTCTAGTTTTGTACACTGGGTATTTCAACAATGAAAATTTAAATAAAAGTGAAGGAGCGGGTGAGATGGCTCAGTGGGTACAAGGGTTTCCCCACTAAGCTTAACAATCTTTCCAATCCCGAGCTCACATGGTGGAAGAACAGACTCCCACAAATTGTTCCTCTGACCTCTATACACATGACATGGCAATATATACATCTGCACCTGTGTACACACACACACACACACACACACACACACACACACACAGAGAGACATACAAATAAATGTAGAAAAAGCAAATTTAAAAAATGAAGAGCTAGGCCAGATGTGGTGGTGCATGCCTTTAATCCCAGCATTTAGGAGTCACAGGCAGGGGCAAGTGGATCTCTGTGAGTTCAAGGCCAGCCTGGTCTACATAGTGAGTTCCAGGAAGGCTGGGGCTAAGGAGACACTGTCAAAAATATTAATCTAAAAAATAAAGTAAAATATAAATAATGAAGTCAGAGTATATTGGTGAGTCCCAGGACTCAGCAGTCAGAATGTGAGCAATGATGCCAGCCAGTTTGTTTTCAAGACCTCAATAAGTAAGAACAAGCCACAGGGGTCTTCCCACAGATTCCCCAAAAGGCTCTTCTACAGCAAAAAGTTTGTGATGTTAGGATCAAAGGACTCCAAAGATGGTTGCTCATCCCAAAGATGGTGTGATGGCTAATCCTGGTTGTCAACTTGACTGGATCTAGAATTAACTAGAATGTGAGAGAATTTATCAGAATATTTTAATCCAGAAGGCCTATCCTAAATGTGGATGGCACCTGGTAGCAGCCCAGATAGAAGGACAGGGCAGCTGGGAGCATTTGCTTTTTGCCTACTTGCCTTCTCTCTCACTGGTGAGTTTATTTATCTTGTTACTGTGGCTTTCATTTGCCAATTCTGGAATGAACTTCTTCAGGTTCCAATGTAGACTGAAGGCCAACAGCTCTCCAGGAATCCCCCAGGCCTTCAGCGCCAGACCAGGACTGCTGAGACACCCATTCTCACAGACTGAGCAACTACCAGATTCCCAGACTCCAGTGTGGTGTAGCCATCGTTGGACTACCCAGACCCTATCCAACACACACACACACACACACACACACACACACACACACACACATACACACACACTCATTTTATCAGTTCTATTCCTTAAAAGAACCCTGATTAATACAGGTGGGGACCATGTGGCGAGTCTGAGGGATTTGGTTAGCCCCATCAGGAGGTACTACCACCAGCAGCAGCAGTGTGGTCATGTGAGTGGCAAGCTGTGTGGAGGGTCTGCTCATACATGGCCTGGCACACACCGAACATCCAGTAAGCCAAAAGCTGTGACACAGGGCTTCCACACTCAGTTTCTTGTGCCTAAGCTGAGAAGCCTGGGTGCTGGCACCTGCTCCAAGGTAAAAGCCCAGTGCCACCCCTCACTGGTAGAAACACAGAGGCCCAGTGCCACCCCTCACCCGTGGAAACGCAAAGGCCCAGAGCCACCATTCACTGGTGGAAACACAGGAGTCTCACACTTGCCTCATCTGGATTTTCGCTGGTGATTCTGGCCGCAATGACATGACCTCGGGCAAGGGGAAGGTTGGAAGGAGTCTCAAAAGAAATAGGGGTCACTGCCCAGGGGGACTCTCCATACAGAAGCCTGAGGTCCTTCAGCCGGTGCAGCGGCACCCCCATAGCGATCTAAAAAAAAAAAAAACCCATCCCACAGGTCAGTGTGCTAGCAGCCTGGCCATGAATGCTGAGTGCAGTGGTGCTTGTGATAAAGGAAGAGGTTCAGGCAACATTTCAGATATACTGAGCCTACAACATCTACACAGTGCTGTGCTAAAGGGTAGCAAGAGAGGCAAGAAGGGAAAAGTCAACTGGGCCTGGTGGCCCACACCTGTAATCCCAGAAGTTCTAGATCACACTAAACAGCAAAACCCTGTCTGGAGAGAAGGAAAGAGCAAAGGAAGAGCCACAGGAGACTCAGCTCCCCAAGAGCAAATGCTGAGGCTAAGAAAGTAATCAACACTTCAAAGCATCACATAAAAAGGAAATGTGTGCTTGAAGCCAAAGGGCAGCCTCTGGGAGCTAAGACAAGAGATGGCTGGCTGGAAGGCTACAGGACGCTTTGTGAAGGATGCAGAAAAAACAGACAAGAAGAAGCAAGACCCAGCACATGGTGGAATTCAGCACCCTGAGCCTCTTGACAGGGTGCCGTAATATCCTGACACAGTACTGAGTGGGAGTTTAATCAGGAAGAAAAAAATTAGGCAAAGAAAAACTGAGGGACATTTGACCTGAACTCTTCAAAAGCACCAATGTACAGTAGCAAAATGGCTCAGTAGGTAACGGAGCCTGGGGCCAAATCTGAGGACCTGAGTTCCATCTCTGGGACCCACATGGTGGGAGGACAGAACTGCCTATCACAGGTTGTCCTCTGACCTCCACCCTGTGCTGTGGCATTCACGTGCTCATATACAGACAAAATAGATAAAAGTTTTTTTTAAAAAATCAATGTCAGGAATGATGCAAAAACTAAAGAATGAGGCCAGGGGAACTAGGGAAGGTGAGGAAAAGATGGGGAAGGGAGACATTAATATTTTTATGTAAGAATTCCCATTATAGGGGCTGGAGAGATGATTCCACAGGTAAGGGCACTGACTTCTCTTGCAAAGGACCCAGGTTCGATTCCCAGCACCCACATAGTGGCTAACAGCCATCAGTAACTCCAGTTCCAGGGGAGCCTAATGCCCTCTTCTGGCTTCTGTGGGCATATGGTGCATGTACATGCAGGCAAAACTCTCATACACATAAAACAAAAATAAATCTTAAAAACAATTCCAATTACAAGGAGTTCTTAGCTAATAGGTCACATGCTCAAAGGGTTTAACACCAACTCCAGGGTGGGTGAAAAAAATGTTACTGTTTTTATGCATAAAGCTGGGGAAACCCCCTCCCTCAGGGCTTAAAGCCAGTTTCTCACCTGCAGCTGCGCAGCAGGCAGATTGACATCTGCGATCATTTCAGTGCAGGGATGCTCCACCTGTAGTCGGGGATTCAGCTCTAGGAAGTAGAAACTGCCGTCTGGGCTGTACAAGTATTCCACCGTGCCAGCGCTCACATAGCCCACGGTCTTGGCCAGGCGGACAGCACACTGCAGAGACAAAGGCCTTCTTTCCAGCAGCTGACTCAAGTCACTATGAGTGGTGGTGTTCCTGTCCCAATGCAAGCTGAGGACCTGCTGCTTGGGAAAGACTGGGGAACCTCAGCTACTGCTGATGAAGAACGGCTATGCAGTGCTGAAATCACCTCCCACATAGGCCTCTCTCCTCCTCTGTGGTACCCATTCTGCCTTCCGGCCACAATGACTATAAGCCAGTTCATTTCAATGTACCCAGCTCGGCTCTGCCAAGTGTACCTGTTCCATGAACTCAAACACAGCTGGTGTGGCAATGGTAACTGGAGCCTCCTCGATGATCTTCTGGTGCCGCCTCTGGATGGAGCAGTCCCGCCCAAACAGAGACACCGCATTTCCGTACTGGTCAGCCAGGACCTGCACCTCCAGGTGTCGTGCGTGCTGAGCCAGCTTCATGAGAAAAATGGGCGAGCTGGGGATCTCACTCTGCACCTGAGGGGGAGAACAGGTACTGGCTGTTCCTGGGAGGAACCAGATCTGGAAGCTTGTAGAAGTTCTCAAAAGGGGGCATCAAACAATAGCAGTGGTGTGGGTAGGGGCTCCACCCACCCTACTTACTTCTGATTCTCATTATTCCTCTCTGAGACATTCTTTCTCATTGTTTTTAAGTCAAACACTGTGAAAAGGGTTAACTTTCCCCACAATCCTACATCCTGTAGACTAGACACTAAGCTGGGCCTAGTGCTGTAATCCCAGTACTCAGGAAACTGAAACAGGCAGATTGTCACAAGTTCAGCCAGCCTGAGCTACAAAATGAGTTCAAGACCAGCCTTAGCTAAATAATGAGTTCAAGACCAAGATGGGCTACATAGAAAATCCCTGTCTCCAAAAACAAAAGCAAATAAACAAAAAACAACACAACTGAGTGGTTTCTGAGGATCTAGCATGGTGAGGGGACTTAGTAATAATGTATTGTGTACTTCAAATTTGGTGAAAGAAGCAGGGTGTGGTGGCACACGCCTCTAATCCCAGTACTTGGGAGGTAGAGGCAGGTGGATCTCTGTGAGATCAAGGCCAGTCTGGACTACATAGTGAGTGCCAGGTCAGTTGCGACTACAGAGAGAATTTAAGATGAAAAAAAAAAAAATTCGATGAAAGAAATCTCAAGTGTTCTTCTCAAACACACATAAAAGTGGTATAGCATGAGCTGCTAGTAAACTAACTTGACTATGATAATCACCCCACCACACATGCCAGGACAGAATGTCATGCTCAACACCTTAAACATATGCAATTTTATCTGTCAAATACAGCTCCGTCAAGGGAGAGGGGAGATCAGTGTACAAGCTAATATTCTTCTACACATACAGTAACACACATATATATATAATACTTCTTTCAACAAAACAGTCCCAGATCCATCTCTGAGCTGTGGAAAATAGGGCAATGGTTAGCAATGGAGGGGCCTGGGTGAACAGCAGACGGAACCAGGTCTACTACTGCTCCAACTCTCCTGGAAATATAAATTCTTCCTACAAATTCTGCACAACTCAAGAGACACAGCTTGGTAGTAAAACAGTCTTGACATGGCACTCACATGTTGCTGAAATCAGGATCCCTGGCAGACCCTTCTAGCAAGCAACCTCTCGAGGTATATTCTTGAGTGCATATAAAATGTACATAACTAATCACTCTGAAGGTCTTTATTGGAGAAAATAATTCAAAAGCAGAGAAAAAGCAAGGTATTATTATCTCAAATATTAAACCATGGCATATATGTGCATGTGTGTGTGCGTGTGTGTCTGTGTGTGTGTCTGTGTAGGTGGATATGCACATTTATGTGGGTGCCCACAGGGGCCAGAAGAGGGTGTCAGATTCCTTAGGTCTGGGGCTACAGCTGAGAAGTGGCCAATATGGCTGCTAAGCCCTGAACCTTGGCCCTCTGTAAGAGCAGCAAGTGCTCTTAACTGATAAGCTATGTCTCCAGCCCTGGAGTATAGGACTTTAAACATTGTTGGTAAAAGGCATCATGTTTTAAAAGAAGAAAACTACTCTAGCTACAAGTAAATAAATATAAAGTAGTGCCTACAACTAAAACTGACCATCCACAAATGTTTATAACAACAACAAAAAAAACCCTCCTAGATTTATAAAATAGCCCATGCCTTGATGGGCAAATAGAGTTACAGAAGATACTGTAACTGTTTCAGAGACATGCCGACTCACAGACTGGACTCATCCTAAGAAATGCTGCAAAGCCGAGAAGGAACCATGGCCTTCTATTAACAGCAATGTGCACATTTGCTTCAAAATATGACACAAGGCTGGGTGTGTGGCTCAGTGGCTGACAGCTTGCCTAGCATGCGTGAGACCTTGGGTTCCATGCCCCATAATGCCACCAGAAAAGAAAAAACAGAGCTGGGGAGATGGCTTGGTGGCGTGAAGAATCCCTAGAACCCCCTTAAATTGGCAATTCCCAAAGACACAGAAAGACAGGGATCACTCACTTGTCTGAAAAGCATGGGGAAGTCTTCAGCGCTCTCCGCTTTACGGATCCCTTTCCCTCCCCCACCTTCAGAAGCTTTGATCATCACTGGAAACCCAATCTTCTCTGCTGCCTGCAGGGAAACAAACGGGGCACTTGGAGATGGGACAGGTGTGAACTGGCACAAGGTAGGGAGAGGGTTGTAGCCCTTGGCCCTGTAACACTCTGAAATTACCTCCAAGCCCTCATCCACATCCTTCACACAACCCTGGTTGTAAACATCTTCGGGGACACTGATACATTTGCCCTGCTGCAGGCCATCCTCTGTCCACTCCACTGTGAGACCTGGAAAGGGACAAAGTGAGTGGAGGCTTCCTGAGGACGGCAGAAATACCACCCCGTGGCCACACCCAAGTTGCTCACGAGCTTCAGTTTTCCACTCAGCTTCTCATCATCTTAAAGATGGACTCGCCCAGAATGGGAATCAACCTTGAGAAATAATACAGCGATATAGGGATGGAGAGATGGCTCAGTGGTTAAGAGCACTGACTGTTCTTGCAGAAGACCCAGGTTTGAATCCCAGCACCCACATAGCAGCTAACAACCATCCGTAACTCCAGTTCGAAGGGATCTGACACCCTCCTCTGGCCTCTGAGGGCACTGCACAATAAAGTGTACTTACATGCAGGCATAACACTCATACACAATAAAATAAAAATAAATTTTTTTAAATTAGGAAACGGGGCTGGAGAGATGGCTCAGCGGTCAAGAACACTGGCTGTTCTTGCAGAAGATCAGGAGTGCTGGGATTACAGATGCACACCACCACATCCAGTTTTTTGTGGGCTCTAGGGATCTAATTTAGGATGTCAGGCTTAAGCAACAAGCACCAAATCTGGTTTTTACACCATCTTTAATCCCAGCACTTGGGAGGCAGACGCAGGTGGATCTTTGTGAGTTCGAGGCCAGCCTGGTCTACATAGTGAGTTCCAGGACAGCTGGGGCTACAGGGAGACCCTGTCTCAAAAAGACAAAAAAAAAAAAAAAAAAAAAAAAAAAAAAAAAAGGATATTCCTGGACAGTGGCTTAAAAAGCAGGTACCTGTAATGTTTCTGATTTCACTTTGGGCTTTGATTTTTTTTTGAGACAGGGTCTCCCTGTAGCCTCAGCTGGCCTGGACCAGGCTGGCCTCAAACTCACAGAGATCCACCTGCCTCTGTCTCCTGAGTGCTGGGACTAAAGGCATGTGCCACCATACCAGGGTCTATAATGTTCATAAATATTCTACATTGGATTATTAAGGTCTATTTTCCTTCCTTTCTTTCTGTTTTGTTTTTCCAGTGGTAGTGGTGGTATTTTTGAACTAAAGTCTCATGGTGTAGCTTAGGCTGGCCTGGAACTCACGTGTAGCCCAGGTTAACCTCAAACTCATGACAATCCTCCTCCTGAGTCCTGGGATTCCTGGTGTGAGCCAGCACACCAGCTTCTATTTTTTTGTTCTTCTCATGTTTCCGACTCAGCTACAATGAAGTCATATACTTATTTAATTGTTTAAAAATTTTAAAATAAATTTTAAAGCATACTCTGCTCACCCCAACTGGGCTTGGAAGTTCCCCCACAGTGAAGGTCAGAGTCCCTTACCACTTCCGCTCCAGGGCAGGGTTGGGATCTCCAGTGTCTGGGCCACAATGGTGGAGGCGATCTTATCTCCCAGGGCCCACATGGCCTTACTGGGCGGACCTGAGGGGTCAGGAAAGGAGTGTAGAATGGAACCAGCTGACAGGCAGAGCCGAGTGCCAACCCAGTGCACAGTGGCAGGCCAGGGAGAAATAAGAGAGCAAAGCAACGTTCCACGTCCTGGCTCTCCCTCTGGGGTCCACAGGCCAGCCACTAGGCTAGCCATCCTTTAGTGTCTGGATTGTAACCTGATCTAAGTCACAGTTAAGCTGCGTGTCAGACACAAAGGTTGTGTAGGGAAGAAGTGAACAGCTGAAGGAAGGAGGCAAGCCAGCAGCTCAAATAGCTGGACCCCAGCGTGGCTCCTTTTCTAAAGAGCTAGATAGGAAAAGCTTTCGGTCTTGTGGAACCAGCCCCAGTTCCTCATCTCTGACAGGATAGTTGACTCTGCTCCACTTGCATTCAGCACAGAGGATTCAACACAGCAGACAGAGAATCTTGTTGTTGTTGTTGTTGTTGTTGCTCTGATTTGTTTTTTTGAGACAGGGTCTCCCTATGTAGCCCTGGCTGACTTGGAACTTGCTTTGTAGACCAAACTGACCTGGAACTCACAGAGATTCGCCTGCCTCTGCTTCCCAAGTGAGATTATTTTTAACTGCATATCTGTTGAACTTGTACAGACTATTTTCCTTGTCATCATTCCCTAAATAATACAATATAACACAGTGCTGAGGTTGAATCAGGTTGTAAGTAATCTAGAGATGATTTAAGTACAGAGGAGGGTGTGTGCAAAGGCCGAGCCATTTTACATAAGGGGCTGGAGCATCTGTGTTGACATCTGTGGGCACCGCTGGAACCCACCCCTTAGGAAACAAGGAACACATGCAAGCATACAAAGTCCACAGATAACAACCTTGAAACCCACAGATGCCGTCAAAGTGTCATTTTCCCTCCTGAGTCCTGGCAGTGAAGGACTCTGGTCTCGAAGGGTGATGGGTGTTCTAGAGGTCTGAAAACAGCCCTAAATGCAGCCCTCTCAGAATGCAACCCCCAAACATACTCAGAGATTTGAACTTGGCTGATACCTTAGTACCAACAGAAACTCTAATGAAGGGCACTCCTGACCCCAGCATCATGCCATTGTGATCACCATAGCAACTGCTCCTATTGCCATGACCGGGTTGACTCACTCATCCCTGCTTTCCCACCCCTGCTCGCTTGGTCCTCATCAAAGGGTGAGTAGGAAGGCAAACAGACCTCCACCTTAAAGAACAGCACAAGAAAGAGACCCTGACCCAGCAGCACCCAAGCCCCACACATCTGACGGAGGGCATACACTCTACCTAAGAAAGCAATCTCGTGTTTGCACAGCAGCTCCGGAAGTTTGGGGTTTTCGGAAGCATGGCCCCAGCCAGCCCACACGGCCTGCAAACAGAGAAGGGTGAACCATGATCCTCTTTCCAGATCCTACCTACCATCGTACCCAGAGCTCTTTGCTGTGTCCTATGGGCCCATGGTGAACTGCAGGATGGGGCACCATCCCCCCTGCAGGTGCCCTTGCAGTTCGAAACCGTCACCTGCACAGGTATTCTCTTGGCAATGTCTACGATCAGCTCCACATTTGCGTAGTTGTTGTTATTGGGCCCTCCTGGCACTGGGACATACTGATCGGCCATCCTGATGTATTCTGCAATTAAGTGGAAGAGGGAGAACTAGTGACAGATGAGTCACCTGCACATACAGCAATGCCACCTGCTCTGCCCTCAGAAAGCATAATGATGACCACATAGCAACAACGGGCAGCACGCAGGGAACTGAGGAAAACTGAAGGGTTTTACTCATGTGGTGTGCTCTGGAGGAAAAAGGAAGACTTCTGTCAGGATGCAGGGTGGGTATTTCTACTTAAGTATTTCTTAGCACTTTTTTATCATTAAACAATGCAATGCTTGTTTGAGACAGTCTAATGCTGTCCAGACTGGCTTCAAACTCTGTGTAGCCGAGGATGGACCTTGAACTTCTGAACTTTCTGCTTCTACTTCCCAATGCTGGAATTACAGGAAAATTTCACCACTCAGGGTTTATGTGGTGCTGGGGATCAAACCCAGGACTTCATGCATGCTAGGCAAGCAGCCTACCAACTGAGTTACATCCCCAGTCCCACAATACTTTTTATTGTGGCTAAAAAGTGCATAAATAAAATTTAGGGCTATTACCACTTTTGATAACACAGTTTAATAGTATTAAATATGTTTTATTGGCCGGGTGTGGTGGTGCACAGTTTTAGTCCCAGCACTCGGCTGGAAGGGCATTAGAAAAGAAAACGAGGTGTTGAGGAAGGGAGGGCAACAGGACAAGAGACATGAAAGTAGAAAGGAGGTGAAAAGCTGTGAGAGGTGACGGGGGGGTGATAGGGATGAGGGAAAAGTGGGGGAAGAGAATCAACAAAAACAAATTTTGTTTGAAGATACCTTAATAAAACCTAACGCTGTGTATGATAATTAAAATTTTTAGGGACTGGAGAGGTGACTCAGAAGTTAATAGCACTTGTTGCTTTTACAGAGAACCTGAGGTTCAGTTCCAGCACCCACATGGTGGCTCACAACTATCCATAACTAACTCCAGGTCCAGGGGATCAGATGCCCTCTTCTGGCCTCTGGGGGCACTACATGCACATGGTACACACACATACATGCAGGCAAAACATTCAATGCACACAAAATAAAGTAAATTTCTTTGAGACAGGGTCTCACTGTGTAGCCCTGGCTGACCTGGAACTTGCTATGTAGACCAAGCTGGCTTTGAACTCACAGAGATCTGCCTGCCTCTGCCTCCCGAGTGCTGAGATTAAAGGTCTTTGTCATCATGCATATATATATATATTAGATGGTTGCTGAAGAATTATACCCGAGGCTGACTCATGGCCTTCATACACACAAGGTCAAATACACATGGGTTGATGAGAGAGCTCTGGGGCTCAGGGTGGACCTGCCTGAGCAGTGGGGAGGAGGTGAGGGCAGGCAGAGATGGGACAGAACATCGAGAAGAGGTCAATTTCAGGTACCTGCATTGGCCTTGAGGTCTTCAGGGGTCACCATGACCACAAAGCGGATGGCCCGTTCGTTGCGGAACATCTCATAGGCCCAGCGGCGAATGGAGCGCATGCACTTGACTGCCGCAATGCCGTTGTTGGCAATGAGCACCTGAATAGGAAACCAGAGAAGAGCCAAAGCTGCAGACCTACCCAGGTAGAGGGCTGTGCACTGCTGCAGCCATCTTCCAGCAAGAAGCCTCTCCTCCATCTCCCAATGAGCTTCTCCCAGTGCCTGAAGCACATGGTTCCCCTGTGCTTCTGCGGCTCACAGTCCCACACAGAGCTGGTGTTCAAGGTTGGCCAGGCCCATGAAGGGATAAGGAAGTAATGGATGAACGGGTGAATGCGTGAGAGAATGGGTTTTGATGGCGATGACACCCTTGGTGGCACCACTGTGATGACCTTTGACATTTCTTGTGTGTTCAGTATACACCAGGCAATGTCAGGTGCAATGTATTTCACCTGATTTACCTCATTTCATACTCAACAGCACTCTGAAAGGAGACTAAAGACACTAAAGCTCAGAGGAGTTAAGGTGCTTCCCCAAGGTCACACAGGCCAGTCAGTGTCAGAGCTAGGGCTCAAATCCAGATGCTTCAAGTCCACACTGCCTTGTGCCGCAAAGGGCTCCTGTGGCTCCTTCTAAAGGCCTTGGATGTGGTGCACAGCAGTGTTGCCACTGTCCTGAAGGGCAGAAAGCAAAGGGAGAAATCCTCATTCCTGTTTCCTGTGTGCTGGGTAGCCTTAGACAGATTCCCTACCCTCCCTGAGCTATACATCCACATAAAGTGGAAAGACTGGCCATCCTTCTAGACTGTGCTCTTAGAAACAAAATGAAGCTCTAGTTTTCATATTTAAAAAAACAGATTTGGGGGTGAGGATGTAGCTCAGTGGTACAGCATTTGCCTAGCATGCCCAAGACCCTGGGTCTGAGCCACAGCACTGAAAACAGAAAATTAATTAATTAGAATCCAGGCATGGTGGCACAGCCCCAGAATCCCCAGCAGTCTGGAGCCTAAAGCCAAAGAATTTCAAGTTTAAGGATAGCCTGGCTATATAACATGACTCTGTTCCAAAATAAATTTTAAAATCTGACCAGGCATGGTGGCACACACCTTTAATCCCAGCACTCGGGAGGCAGAGGCAGGCAGATCTCTGTGAGTTCGAGGCCAGCCTGGACTACATAGTGAGTTCCAGGACAGCTGGGGCTACAGGGAGACCCTGTCTCAAAAAGACCAAAAACAAAAAATAGGCTTCTGCCTTCAAGTTCTGACTTACAGAGCAATTTCTGTCATGTGAAGTCCATATCCATCCTTATATAATCTTCCAAGTGGTGCTGAGGGCCAGCTTCAATAGAGGTATGGGATGTGACTATCTCTGTTTTACAGATAGGAAACTTGGGCCCCATGAGTTCACACCTGAGACTTGCCAAAGGATTTGCCTGAGGCTTCTGGCTCAGGAGCACTGTTCTTACTGCCCTGTAGAAAATGCCCCTGGGGAAGGGACAAGGGACAAAGAACTGCCTCACTCTGGCTTTCTCAATCTTATTGCTAGAACAAGGCTTGGTACAGAGAGAAGGGCTGAGGGGGAGAAAGGAGCACACTCTGGGAGCCCCATGGGGGCGGGGCCAGCTTTGGCTCTCTTACCCTGGTTGTGGCTTTCCATGGGGACTCGAGCACAGAGGCCAAGCCCTGGTCAGCTCCTAAACCAGAGAGTGCAACAACTCTGGGCCGAGGCTACCTGAGGTTAGCCCTGCCACTCTGAGAATGTGATGCCAGCTAGCCGTGGAACTGGCTGCAAAGTAGTCCCTGGTGAGTGTGGTAAAAATGCAGCTTCTAGAAGCTGGAGGTGTAGTTCAGTGGGTAGAGTGCTTGCCTATGAGGCACAAAGCCTGGGTTCAGTCCCCAGCACTGAATGGACTGGGTGTAGTAGTGAACACTTGGGAGGTGGAGGCAGGAGGATCAAAAGGTCAAGGTCATCCTCAGGATTTAAGGCCAACTTACAATATCTGAAACCCATTTTTTTAAAAAAAAGTAGTTTCTAGGTCTTTCCCAGGAGACTGTAAATCTCAGGGTCTGGGGCTGGATGGAAGAGTTTGTGTGAGCAGGCAGCAAACAGAACCACAGCCAGGAGGAACCTGCGGGAGTTGCCACTCAGCGCTGTACTTATTACTCTGGGTTGATGGAGGCGAGGGCTCTGAAGTCCAACAGCCAGGTTCAAATCCCCTTGTGCAGTCTCCGCTCTCTGGACCTCAGTTTCCTCATGCCCCTGACCCAGTGGTGAGGATGGTTGAGGTACAATATACAAGTCAGAGGCGGGCTGTCCCCAAATGGGCTCTCAAGAGACTGTGCAGCAAGTGCTGCGGCCGCCGCCGCCACCACCACCATGGCTGTATTCCCAGTGTTCCAAACGGAAAAGAACAAGACCTTGCAGCCACAGAGACCTGAAGTCAAACCTCATCTCCACTCACTAAGCTATGGCCTTGGACAACCAATGTGGACTCTCTGGATCAAAGCCTGTGCCAGAGTCCACCAGGGCCTCAGCTTCCCCTTCTGCGGAAAGAAGTAACTTGCAGCATCAGGCTGGGATGTGGGGTGAAAATCTCCTGAAGCATCCCGTACCCAGGCAAGGATCCCAAGAAGTAGCCCCACCCTTCTCTGCAGGGGGGGTGCTTCCACACACACACCCAGCATTCAGGACCCATCTGTACCTTCTCAATGACCCGATCTCCCCCAAAGCGGGTGACAAACTCAGCTGGGGATGCCACAGTGAAGTCTCTGTGCAGGTCCAGCTTCTTGTGCTCACGGCCCCTCCTCACTAGGTGGAGTCCAGACATGCTGGGCCTGCAGTGGAGAGAAACAGCCATGGAGGAGGGAGCCATGGAGGAGGGAGCCATAGGGGAGGGAGCCATGGAGGAAGGAGCCATGGAGGAGGGAGCCATGGAGGAGGGAGGCTGGGGCCTCCAGGAGGGAGTGCAGCTGGGCACTGTAAGGACAAAACCAATGTTAACAGGGCATACACATTGCCACAGGACTACCCTTCAGACAGACAGACAGACAGACAGACACACGCAGGCCTTCCAGAGACCTGGAAGCAAGCACAAGGGGGCTCAAGAGCAGGAAGCACTGTCTCGAAGGACCCATGCCCTGCCCTGTCATAATTCAGCCTTTATTCGACATGTCCCTAATTTAGGAAGTTGACCAACTACTAAAATCTTCTATCAGGAACGGTGTTCAACAATGAGGGAGGAAGTCCTCACATTCTGCTATGTCCTTCTAATACTTTTTAAATCACACTTACATCTTTCATGGGCTTTTAAAGATATAGATATTTCACATTTTTTAAAAGCTGAAGGAGGCAGAGGTAGGCAGATCTCTATGAGATGGAGGCCAGCCTGGTCTATGTAGCAAGCTTCAGGCCAGCTGGGCCTTTTGTCTAAAAAAAAAAAGACAAAAAAAAAAAAAAGCTGAAGACAATTTTTAATACATATCACAGAAGTTGTACTTGTGACACAGTTTTCTTTCCCACCATCCCTCATGCCCTCTCTTCAATTTGGACCCAGCAGAATGGCTCTTGGAAAGAAGTGTGATGGAAAGAAGAGCCATTCAGCCATCAATAAGGAGGTGACCCGAGAACACACCATCAACCTTCACACGACATTCATGTCCTTCAGAAAGCACTCGGCCACTCAAAGAAATCCAGAATTTTGTCATGAATACAGGGACTCCAGATATGCACATTAATGCCAGGCTCAAAGCCATCTGGGCTAAAGGGGTAAGGAATGTTCACACCACGTCCATGTGCATTTGTCCAGAAAATGTAATGAGGAGGCGGATTCACCAAGCAAGCTGTGCACTATGGGAACCTGTGCCTGTTACCACCTTCAAAAATCTACAGTCGATGTGCATGAGAACCGACTGCTGAGTGCCAAATAAAGTTAAAAAACTAAAAAAACACCTTAAGGCCAATGAGATAGCTCAGAGGGTAGTCACTTGAAGCCAAGCCTGTCAATTTCAATTTGAGCCCTGGGAGTCACATGGTGAAGAAGAAAACTGATTCCTGAAAGTTGTCCTCTGACCTCTACATGCAAACACACACATACACAGACAGACGCATGCGCACACACACACACAGACACACACTAAGTGTAATTTAATTTTTAAAAAGCATATTATAATACAATAGCAGTTCCCTGCCTCATTTCTCTATAACCCATTTCCAAGAGGAAATTGCTGTTGATTCTTTCTGATATTTTCACATCTGCAAGCTCTGTGTATATAGACACATATTGCTTAATAGCAGGATGCACTCTGAGAAAAGTGTTGTTAGTGACTTCACTGTGAGAACATTGTAGAGTGTATTCCACAAACTAAGCTACAACATCACATGTTCATTCTCTCTCTCTCTCTCTCTCTCTCTCTCTCTCTCTCTCTCTCCCCCCCCATCTGTACATATAATTTCCCAGGCTAGCCTCATGAGTAGCTGGGACCTACAGGCAATGTGCCACCCCATCCTGCACTGGGTTATAATCCCATGAGATCATCATTATGCACACTGTTGTTCCTTGACTGAAACATGGTTCTTTGACACACAGTTATACTCTCCTATGAGTCAGTCATTTGAAACACCATTGATGCCGTTTTGAGACTGAGGCTTGGCTGTTAGTATGCTGGTTAGTTTTTGTCAACTTGACACAAACTAGAGTCACCTAGAAAGAGATGCTGTCTCCATTGGACTGGCTTGTGGCCAAGTCTGTGGGGTATTGTCTTGATTGCTAATTGATATAGGAGGGCCCAGCCCTCTGTGGATGTTGACATCCCTGGGCAGATGGGCTGGAGAGATGACTCCTTCATTAAGAGCACTGGCTGTTCTTGCAGAGGACCTCGGTTCATTTCCCAGCATCCACATGGCAGCTAACAACTGTCAGTAATTCCAGTTCCAGGGGATTCAACACCCTCTTCTGACCTCCTCAGGCATTGCAAGACATGGATGCACTTACACATACACACATGCAGGCAATACACTCATGCACATAAAATAAAAATAATAAATAATTTTTTAAAAAAGAAAGAAAAGTAGCTGAGCAAGCCAGAGGGAGCAAGCCTGTAAGCAGCGCTCCTCCGTGGTCTCTGCTTCAGTTCCTGCCTCCAGGTGCCCACCCTGCCTTGAGTTCCTACCTGGCTTCCTTCAGTGATGGACTGTGACCTGGGAGTTCTAAGATCAAATAAACACTTTCCTCCCCAAGTTGCTTTTCATCCTGGTGTTTGTCACGGCAACAGAAAGAAAACTAGCACTCACAGCTGCCCTGCCTGATCCCCTCCCCAGCCACTCAGCAGAACCATACTGCCATTTGGCCCACTTGGTGCTCCGTGTCTTATCAGCAGTAATGGTTTTCATGGGCGAGAGTGGTGAGGTGCCAGATTCATTTCTTTTTGTATTTTTCCTGGAGTTGATATTTTTGCCCTTCGCATGGTACTCCCTGTATATACTGCTAATCATCCCACCCCTCCTTGGGGACACTCGAAACACACAGCTATGGAATGTTTCATTCCTCATGGACTCGTCCAGTCTCCTTTCACCTGGCCTGGCTGTTCTTGAGGCTCCTGCACCATGAGCATCCATGGCTTCTCTGTGCGGACATCTTTATAACTCCTTTTGCCTTCCCTTGGAGTAGGATCCGTATTTGGGGGATTGATTGGTCCCTCCTTCTCAGGGGACCAATTGTTTTGCTGAGGCATATCTTCCAGTAATTTCACGTGGTTAACTGGATGGTAAGCAGAATGTGTCATGATGACATTCTCAACCCACCTCTCCTGCCTGGAGTACTCTAGGCTTTGTGGTCATCACCACCCAGGAGACGCCCTCTGGTTCACGCCGGCTATCCCCCTGCCATGTGCTCTGTCTTGTCTTGCCTGCTTTACTTTTTGGTTTCAATGGAAGACCTCCTCAGCCGCTTGCTAAGGAAGGGTGGGCAAAGGGAAGGTAAATGCACAACGACCTTGTGTGTTTACAACTCTCTTCCTTCTGCCCTTGTTTACAGCCCCATCATTTGATTGACCTGTGCAGAATTCTAGGAAGGAAATCTCCTCCTTCAGTTTCAGAAGCCTCTGTCATCACATTATGGCCTCCAAGACTTTTTGTTTTGTTTTGTTTTCTGCTTGCTTGCTTTGTTTTGCTTGATCCTTTATGGGGTCTGGTTGTTTTTTGTTTGTATTTGGAAGCTTACAGGTCCTTCTGCTCCCAGAATTGACAGTGAGCCCAGATATGTGTCTGCTTCCATCTGGGAGGCTGTGAACCTCTCAGGCCCTCTCAATCTGCTGTTCTGTTTTTCGCGCTGCTGCAAATGGAACCCAGGCCTCACTCTAGGCAAGGGTTTTCTACCTCTGAGCTAACCCTCCAGTCCCAGCCCTCTGTATCCAGAAGTTCAATCATGGATCTTTGTCTTCAAATATTTCCTTAACTCTGTTCACCTATTCTTTCCTGAAGCCCCTCAAGGCTAGCCCACTAGGTTATATGTTTTGTTGAAGCTCCAAGCTGGCACACTAGGTTATGTGTTTGGTTGAAGTTCCGAGGCTGGCCCACTAGGCTATGTATTTTCTATCTCCTTTTCTCCTCTGTCTTCTGGGTAGTTTCCCCAACCTTCTCTTCTAACAGAATTCTTCATTTCTGCTCTCACATTTTCCCAGGGCTTGTTTGGGGTCTTCAAATGGTCCCTTTTATTTAGTGTGATTGTGTGTGTGTGTGTGTGTGTGTGTGTGTGTGTGTGTGGCCAGAGAAAACCTTGGCTGTCACCCTCAGGAATGCCATCTACCTCCTTTGAGACAGGGTCTCTCACTGACCAATTAGAGCCCACAAAGCTACACGGATCCTCCAATCTCCTCCTCCCCAGCACTAGCATATTCATGTGGGTTCTGAGGACCAAACTTGGAGTCTCCAACTTGCAAGGCAAATATTTTATTGACTATATTAGTCTGGGTTCTCTAAAAGAACAGAAAGGATAGAATATATAAGAGGTTTATTAGATTGGCTTATAGGATATGGTCTGGGTAATCCAACAGTGGTTGTTTCACATTGGAGAGGCTGAGAATCCAGGAGTTGCTCAGTCTACAAGGCTGGATGTCTCAGCAGTCCCAATCTCCCATGGAAGGCCTGGAAGATTCCTGGAGAGCTGATGGTCTTCAGTCTCTATCAGAAGCTTAAAGAAACTGGTTATAATAACAGTGAAGGAATGCCACAGCACTAGGACCTCACTAGCGAGAGTGAAGGCAAGAGGCTAAAAGGCAAATTTCCATCTCCATACCCTTTTACCTTGGCTGCCACCAGAAGGTACCGCCCCCATGTTAGGCCAGGTCTTCTGGTTTCAAATGACCTGATGAAGACAGTCCCTCACAGGGGTTTGTGTTTTAGTGGATTCCAGGTACAGTTGAGTTAGCAACCAAGATTTCTGTCCTAGTTTGCTTTCTGTTGCTGTGATAAAACACCATGACCAAAAACAATGTGGAAGAGGAAAGGGTTTATTTGACAAACACCTTGCAGTCCATCATCAAGGGATGCTAAGATAGGAACTCAAGGCAGGAACCTGGAGGCAGGAACTGAAGCAGCCACCATGGAGGACCCTATTGCTTACTGGCTTGCTTCCCAGCTCACTTTCACCTTTCACTTACCTTTTTTTATTTTCTGTTACAGCTTTAACATGTAACACACTCCAGAGCAAGGATACATCTCTTTCAAAAGTGTGGCTGTAAATTTTTAGGTTCACAGTTGAATTAATACAGTTATACAATATTGAACTCAGTATAAACCCTATAAGACATAAAATTGAATGAGGCTTTACTCTTTAAAG